TACAAAGTACGCCGCCTGCCAATCAGAAACCGACGGTGCCCAACAAGGCCGGGGGTTCCTCGGCGCTTCATTTTCTCACCTGTCTGAGAGCCGAAGCCAGCCATTCGCCTTGTCGTTATACCCTGACGCTAGTCGAGGAGATCTTTTACAAATATCGCAGACCGAAGATCTGAGACGGGTCCGACATGCTATATATTTTTTAGTTTACTACATCTCTTAGCCCCCAGGTTATTTTCCCCTGAGATTCGCGATTGTACCATCAACATGGAGCAGGCTAGCATGGAGCCTGTTATTTCCCACAGAGCAAGAAGTGCCTGTCACGATACAGTTTCAAATCCTATGTGGGATGTACTGGATGACGCCTGGTGCCCCTCCACCAATCCAACTGGATATATCAACGTCGGTGTGGCAGAAAACGCCCTCATGCAGGATGATCTTCTTGACTTCATCAATACCACCAACCTCGATCTGCCAGCCAAATACCTCACATACAACCAGGGAGGGGGGGGGTCCTCGAGATTAAAACGGGCCATGTGTGGATTCCTCAACCGCCACTTGCACCCGGTGGCTCGATTAGACCCCGAACATTTGATGGTCACAAACGGGGTCTCACCTGCAATTGAACATGTCTCGTGGGCCTTCGCAGATCCTGGCGAAGGTATTCTGCTAGGACGGCCTTACTACGGTATCTTTGTTACGGATATCTCTATGCGCCCACAGGCGAGAGTAGTCGCTGTCAACTTTGACGGCGTTGACCCATTCAGTATCGACATTACACACAAATATGAGCAAGCCCTACTGGATTATCAGCAGAATACTGGGAAGAAAGTTAGGGGCTTGATGCTTTGCAACCCGCATAACCCTCTGGGCCGCTGCTATCCCCGAAATGTGATCATCAGATTGATGCAGCTGTGCCAGAAGTATCGAATTCATTTGATCAGCGACGAGAGTTATGCACTATCCGTCTGGGAGAACACCGTTGATCAACATCCTCCCCCCATGCCTTTTGAGTCTGTGTTGTCGATTGAGCTGAACGGTATCATTGATCCACGTTTGGTTCATGTTCTTTGGGGTATGAGCAAAGATTTCGGCGCAAACGGTGTTCGTCTCGGAGTCATAATCTCGCAAGCCAATCGGGATTTTCATCTTGCATTGAAAGGACCTTGCATATACTCCCACGCATCTGGGATCACGGATCACTTGGTGTCACTATTACTCGAGAATACCCAGTTCACCGATTCCTACATCCAACAGAATCAAAAGAAGCTATCAGAATCATACGCGTATGCTGTAGGCTTTTTGAGGCAGCATGGGATTGAATACGCACCAGGGTGTAACGCCGCTTTTTTCATGTGGCTCAATTTGGGAAAGATATATCGAAAGCTATACCCTGAGATATCTGAGAACGAGGATGTCGGAGAGAAAGTCATGCAGCAGCTGTTGGAACAAAGAGTCTGTTTGACTAGCGGTGCAACATTGGGGTCGGAGCAGGATGGATGGTTTAGAATTGTCTTCTCTCATCCCCGGGCTTATCTAACCGAGGCCTTGCAGAGGATTATAGCTGCTCTTAAACGTTAGCTCGGATTACTGCCCAGTAAGGGTTCAGCGGAGCGCTAGGCAGCAGCGGTGATAATTCGCGCAAAAAAACATCTCCCTTGCGGTAAATCTATTTCTGAAAATTACACTTGAAATCTTACATTATTTGCGAATACTCAGTATCAAATTGTGGTGTTTTCCTTATCAATTACAACGTAGTAAGTAATATAAGACTGATACACTTGCCAAATTGATTGGCAGTGCACACCTAATTACATCGCTCTGCCAAGTACCTTAGCTTATTTACTTATTTATTCATTCTTCATGACCTTAGGTCGTGTCGTAACGTATTTCACATGCGAGCCGCCCACACAAGCGAGCCGCCAACCCCAAAACACCATAGTAAATGCGATAAATTACAACCTACTATCTCAACAACGGCTGTTTATATAGATATTTCCTTATAGACTAGAGCACTTTAGGTAATTTCTAGCTTCTATAGGGAGTTTGGGAAATATATATGACTTTGTGATTGCGATATATATATTTCTGGCTTTTAGCACTATAATTTTTAGTAATTTTCAATACCGTAATAATATACCTCTTCGATATTCTTAAGATTGATAAATTGTATTGAAAATTCTTATCAATAGCTATCGACAGATAATGAAATCAAATAAAAACGTGGTTGTTGAGATATCAAGTTGCAATTTATCGCATTTACTATGGTGTTTTGGGGTGGGCGGCTCGCTTGTGAAATACGTTATGTAGTCCAAAGCGGGACGCGTCCGGGCGGCCCGACGCGCGTTGGCGTCGGCAGCTCCCGTGTCGGTAATGCCAACGTCGACTCGAGGATGTAGGACCGCGTCACCAGCCACATAACGATGAGCTCCCTAGAAGGGAACAAATAAACCATGTGCGAGGCTCATGGAATAAAATTCGCATTGTTCGTAGATTATCCGTAGAAGTTGGGAGGAGGCAAAGACCGGTGCCTAACCCCTAAAGCCTACGGTTGATGTGCGGGTCACCATCGCATCGGGCAGTCCACATTGGATGTCACCAAATGCGGCCTGTCAGGGCAACCACGCTGTCACCGACCTCAATTTCCCGAAGTAGGAGGAAACGTGGAAAACAGTCTGTCGGCGAGAGCAGAAGATAGTGGCCCGATCGTTGCAATCCTACGATTTGCTAATGATCTTGGAGACTTACGTTTTCTTGATGATGATGATGATGATGATGATGATGATGATGATCTCATTAACCCGATGTAGCTCGCTTTACATACATGCTGCTATGCGGGGATAGCGTTCCAGAGCCTGCTCTTCGATGACAAAATGGTGGTGCATCCCCAGTATTTATACAAATCCACCCTGTATGCAGGACTCGACCCCTCGAAGTATTGCAACCTGAATTGTAAGGCCACAATCTGGCCGGTAACTAACGTATTCGGCAAGCGAGCGGCGCACGCAAGCGAGTGGCGCACCCCATCCAAAACGCGTCCATGAATTAGATCTTAGTTAATTCAACCACCCACCATGCCACCAATTCGCTCTCAAAGCTCTAGAAATTTAACGGAGCAAGAGGGTAGGATCTTACTAGCAATCCAGGCTATTAAGAATCAATAAGTCTCTTTAATTCGTGAAGTGGCGCGCCGTTTTAGTATACCTGAAACTACCCTCCGCCGCCGCCTTAAAGGGGTACAAAGCCGCGCGATTTCTCGCGCGATTTCTCGCGCAAATTCGTCTAAATTGACAGAAACGGAAGAGGATTCTCTTCAAAAATGGATTATCTCTATGGATTCTCGTGGAGCAGCCCCCCGGCCCTCTATGGTACGAGAACTGGCGGATCTTCTTCTTGAAAAGCGTGGAACTACCCCGGTTCTTTCGGTCGGCGAAAAATGGGTATACAACTTTGTGAAACGGCGTCCTCTCCTTTCCTCTCGATTCTCGAAACGATATAATTACGAGCGTGCGAAATGTGAAGACCCTAAGATCATTACAGAGTGGTTTGATCTTGTTCAAAGAACCATCCTTCAATTTGGAATCGATCCTGATGATATTTATAACTTTGATGAGACTGGTTTTGCAATGGGATTAACTGCAACTGCGAAGGTTATTACAAGGAGTGAATACTACGGTCGGCGTTCACTTTTACAGCCTGGAAATCGAGAGTAGGTGACTACTATTGAGTGTACAAATGCTTCTGGCTGGGCCCTTCCTCCGTGTGTGATTTTTAAAGGCAAAGTCTTTATTGAATCATGGTTTAACAGCCTCCCGGAGGACTGGCGTTTCGAGGTTAGTCCTAATGGCTGGACCTCTGATAAAATTGGACTTCGCTGGCTTGAAAAGCTCTTTATTCCTACTACTTCTTTACGTACGAAGGGGGGATACCGGCTCTTAATACTCGACGGCCACGGAAGTCATTTAACCCCGAGGTTCGATGAAATCTGTAAGAGAAATAAGGTAATACCAATCTGTATGCCTCCGCACTCCTCTCACCTTTTACAACCTCTCGATATCGGCTGTTTTGCAGTTTTAACGGTCGTACGGTCGGCTAGTTAAATCAAAAATGCGGGCTGGGATAAATCATATCGACAAACTTGATTTCCTCGAGGCATACTCCCCTCGCACGAATTAAAGCTTTTAAATCGGAGACTATCAAAAATAGCTTCGGAGCAGCCGGTTTAGTCCCTTTTTCACCGGAAAGAGTAGGCCTCGACAAGTCCCGCAGCACCGGTGCTGCCGCAGCACTAGGCCCTTGGTTCGGTACTGCAGTGCTGCAGCACTGTAAACAGTGCAAACATTAATTATGCAAAAATACAATGTATTAAGGTAGTAAGATATAGTAATTTAAAAAAAAAAGGGGGGATTCCTAGGTAGGGTTCGAACCCCAGCCTAGTAAAAACATTTCTAGGCTATTTTACTACTCGACCACTAGGCTAATTATTACTATAATAGTAATGGTCCTTAATATGTTTATTACTACTATTTAGTAGTAAAATAATTATATATATATTTTATCTTAACTAAATTATATATTAATATCCTATTAAAAACACGTTAAAAACGCGACTTTAAGTAATATTTAAAAGGTAAATTTTTGATGCAGAAGTGAGTATAGATATATATCTCTCTACGTCAACATTTTACCTTTCAAATATATTATTAAAACTACCTTTCTTCTTACTTTTTTTTATAGGATTCATATAGTAAATTGTATAAATAATAAGTAAATCATATAATATTACTAGTAATAATTATTAATACGTAGTAAATAATAATATTAAAATCAAGTAATCCTGACAATACGATTTTATGTATATAGGTCAGCAGATTATACATCCAAAATAGGCAATTTCTTGGCAAGTTATGCTAGCGCAGTACTAAATTTGGTGCTGCGGGACTTGTCAAGGCCTAGGAGAGAGTGATATCAAAGCTTGATATTCGGCTTCGAACACCGACACCCCCCCCCTAGCCGGGGTAGTGAATCAAGCCGGAATTTCACCCCAAAAACCCCCTTTACAGAGAAAGAAATACGTCGGCAGGCTTCATCAATCAAAGCTTTACTTCGTACAAGATCTCGAAGCCCGCCTAGCCCCTCAGATCGTGCATTAAACTAGCTTGTGAAAGGCTTCCGTCTTACAATGCAAGGTGCTATCTTATTCTCCAAAGAAAATAAGGAATTACGCGCCGCCAACGAGAAGCAGAAGCAAAAGCGAACCCGATCTAGAAGGAGATCTCTCTGTTCAGGAGGTTCGTGAGCTACGTTCAGAGCCATTTGATGCCCAAGTTGCGCGGATCAACAACTATCGTGAGCAGGTTTGGAGGGTTTACAGCCAGCTACACGGGCCGGACGAGCATGTGGAATATGTAGGAAGCCAGTACATAGAAGAGAGACATGCCCAGATAGATGATGATTTTAGTTTATTTAATTTAATGGCGTTTTGATCGAGATAAATGCATTTGAAATTAGTAGGTTGGGTTGGGTGGCCAGCTCGCTTACCGAATACGTTAACTACCTAAGCGAGCCGCCATCTCCAAAACACATAGTAAATGCGATAAATTACAACTTGATATCTCAACAACAGTAGTCTATATGGAACTTTCCTTTGGTCTAATGGTTTTAATATGATATCTAGTCACTTTAGGGAGTTTTGAGAAATTTAATGATTTGGCGACTGACAGATATATATTTTGTGGAGTCCAGCGACGTAATTTTCCATACAACAATAATTTAGGTCTCATGCTTTCAAAATTGATACATGCTACTAAAGATGCTTATCGATACATACCTACCAATAGTGAAGATTTTAATATGCCGTGGTAATTGAGATATCAAGCTGTAATTTATCGCATTTACTATGTGTTTTGGAGATGGCGACTCGCTTAATGCATACGTTAGTGCAAACAGAACAAAATATTGCAAAAGAACGTCAATTCATCCGTAGATGATCATCAATCCCGCGGGGGCGCAAAGTGGTCCCCTTCTCTCTTCAATGCACCTTTCGCTCATCCCTCTTCCTCTCTCTCTCTCTCTCTCAGATACACACACACACTTCCCTCCTCCCGCTTCGCATTGGCTTCCCCGAGTCACCGAGTCCCTGCATCTTGCGTCATGCCGGCAGGTTGTACACGAACAGGTTCGGATCACGACGCCATGTTTCGTCGTCCTCGTCGTCAGCATTAGCCGATCGGAGTGTGCGTTGGTGTGAGGTGACCTCAGCAGACCTGGTGCCAGGCCAATGCGCTTTGCTTCCTTGTTCTCCAGCACTTGTAGCGTGTTTATTTGTTGGACCATGTTGATCTTCTTCACCCTGTTCCCTACCCGTGGCGACCGAGTCCACTGACTGAAACTGTCCCAGGAGCCCCGTTGCGATCATGAACTTCGCCACGGTCGTCGCCGCTTTTGATTTCTTTAGCATCTCGTCCTCCCCGAGCACCGTTGAAACCCCGGCTTCGTGCAATTCCTCCATCATTTCTGACCGCAGTTCATCTAGAAACTGGCATTCCAGCAGTACATGTCGTACATTATGGTTCCCCATATTGTACGTACAGCGAGGTGAGTCCTTCTTTTTGATTTTTGAAAGGTACTCTGCCAGTCTAATGATTCCAATGCGAAATTGTATCAATACTGCCGACGTGGCTTTCCGTAGGCCTTTCCAGTACGCCAAATTTGTCTTATTCGGCGCCTCGACTAGCCTCCTCGGCCTCCTTGCCGTCCTTCCTGTCTTCAACCACGATGCCTCCCATGCGGTTTTTGTGTTTAGTCCGATACCCCTTTTTGCGGCTGCGGCCAGTCGGGTATAACGGCTATGGTTGATATTTATGTGGTTGATGTCTTTTTCTTCGGTAGTGGCTATTTCTTTTGCTAGTGTATCGGCGGTCTTATTTCCTGGGATCCCTTTATGCGCTGGGGTCCAGCGTAGTTCCACCCGAATCCCTTCGCTGGCGCACTATTGTAGGATACAGATGCTGCCTTCGTGGTATATTTTTCCTGATGGCATTTTTGGGTTTTGGATGGCTTGAAGGGCAGCCTGGTTGTCTAAATATGACCACTTTGTTCGCTATGCTGTGCCGCCATTGATAATTAAAGGATTTTTCCTTGATGTTTGCCTTTAAAAATCATATACGGAGGAAGGGCCCAGCCAGAAGCATTTGTACACTCAATTGTAGTTAGCCACTCTCGATTTCCAGGTTGTAAAAGTGCTCGTCGACCGTAGTATTCACTTCTTGTTATAACCTTTGCAGTTGCAGTCAATCCCATTGCAAAGCCAGTCTCGTCAAAGTTGTAAATATCATCAGGATCGATTCCAAATTGAAGGATTGTCGTTTGAACTAGATTAAACCACTCCATAATGATTTTAGGGTCTTCACATTTCGCACGCTCGTAGTTATATCGTTTCGAGAATCGGGAGGAGAGGAGAGGATGCCGTTTTATAAAATTATAGACCCTTTTTTCCCCGACCGAAAGAACCGGGGTAGTTCCGCGCAAGGAGAAGGTTCGCAGTTTCTCGTACAGTAGAAGGCCGGGGGGCTGCTCCACGAGAATCCATAGAGATAATCCATTTTTGATGTGATTTCTCTTCAATTCCAGTCAATTTATGACTATTAGCGCGGGTTTCAGCGCGAAAGGTAGTCCCACGAAGACGCGTCTGGAGGGTTGATTCGGGTACATTATAACGGTGTACTGCTTCACGAATAGCACTGATTTCTTGATTCTTTATAGCCAGGGGTGCGCAGCTCGCCCGGGAAATAAATGAATATATAAATATGCACCCCTATTGACAAATCACGTGACAGTTCTGGCACTATCTCCGAGCCATGATGAATTCTACACCCACCAGACTTGGGCCATATTCTACAAATATCTGTTTCTCAGACCCCCTGATACGAAGTTGTCGGCCCAGTATAACACGATGCAGTGGCTGATTAACCTTTTGAAGTCGCTCTACTCCTTAGAAACCCTTGATACGCGCTTTGCAAGATCGACTACAGCGTCTCAGAACTCCGCAAGAGACCCTTCCAGAACTTCTGCTCCAAGGCTAGACAAGCACTCACCTTTACCCGGCACGAAGCCGTCCAAATGGTGGACAATCGAGCGCTGTGTCTACTACCTTGTCTTCGTCATCGTTGTTCCGACGATGGTGAAGCAGGTCTGTGACATATCGAAACCGGGAAGTCCTGACTGGGACTCTTTCTCGAAGAGATTGTCTCGAGGCTGGATCCCTGGTCGCCAGGTTGACAACTCTGATGCACAGTACGCTAATTTTCGGGACAATATCCCTTACCTCATAATCCTTCTTATACTGCATCCATTGCTTCGCAAGCTGTATGGTGCATTCTGGCGAATCGACAATTACAAGTTTCTGGATGACAGCAACACTGGTCTGTCCCATGATCCATCCCCGTTGACCGTTGCAGATGCCAGATTGCAACATCGGACCCTCTTTGATTTTGCCTTCGGGATTATCTTTCTCATCGCGCTGCACGGCGTTTCGGCGGCAAAAGTTCTTCTGATCTTCTATACCAACTTCAATATTGCGACACGGCTTCCCAGAAGCTACGTGCCTGTCGCCACCTGGGTCTTCAATGTTGGTATCCTGTTCGCGAACGAATTTTGCCGCGGATATCCCTTCGCTGTGGTCGCTCGGGTCTTATTACCAGATATTAAGGCTGCGCAAGATGTTGGCGCAAAAATAGACAGCTACTGTGGTCTCATTCCTCGGTGGGAGGTGCTCTTTAAGATTTCAATATTACGCCTGATCTCGTTCAATTTGGACTACTATTGGGCTCAAGCAGAGGGTAGCTCAAATTTAATCGAGGTCAGTATTGCATTCATGCCAGCCTCGACGATGATCGCTGATTAAACCTAAGAAGAAGCATGTGGTCGCTTTGCTCCTTAGTGAACGCGATCGAGTCTCATATGGCGCCGCTTTACGGGACTTTAACCTCAAAACTTACTTTGCCTATACGCTATACTCACCTCTCTACCTCGCTGGTCCGATTTTGAGCTTCAACGACTTCGTCTTTCAATCGCGACATTGTCTGACGACCACAACCACAGTCAGGACCTTCCTCTACTGCCTGCGCTTCCTTGTCGCCCTCCTTTGTATGGAACTGGTTCTGCATTACTCTTACGCAGTGGCGATCATCAAGAGTTCGCCTTCATGGACACAATATACCCCCTACCAGCTCGCCATGCTTGGATATTTTAACCTGCACGCCGTCTGGCTGAAGCTGCTTATCCCTTGGCGTTTCTCCCGATTGTGGGCCTTGGTCGATGGACTTGACGCGCCGGAGAACATGGTCAGATGTATGTCTAACAATTATTCGACACTAGCATTTTGGCGTGGCTGGCATCGAAGCTTGAACAGGTGGATTGTCCGGTATATCTACGTTCCTCTTGGCGGCAACGGAGATCGTAAGTTCAAAACCATGGTGAATGTCCTGGTAGTATTCACCTTCATCGCCCTTTGGCATGACATCAATCTGCGTCTGTTGGCGTGGGGTTGGTTAACCACATTGTTCATTCTGCCTGAGGTGATTGCTATGATTATCTTCCCAAAATACAAGTGGAAGGACTGGCCAGAGACGTTCAGGATCCTTTGTGGCATCGGGGCAGTGGGAAACATCCTCGTGATGATGGTGGCAAGCCTCGTGGGTTTTGTAATGAGTGTCGACGATGTCAAGCAGATGGTCAAGGGCATCTTCGCAGGCTGGTCTAATGCCGGCTTCGTCACGGCGGCTGTGATGTGCCTTTTCGTGAGCGCGCAGATCATGTTTGAGCATAGGAAGGGGGAGAAGAGGCAGGGGATCAATCTGAAATGTTAAGAATTGTATGCCGCAGATATGTTTGGCAAAGGACCGCCGGGTGGAAGCTACTGTAGGCGGCACGAACGTGACCGTGTCCGAGGATTGAAAATCTGTCACATACTGCCTGCTTTGTCATAGCAAAAGCATTCGACGTCACAATCCTAGCAATTGAATGAAGAACAATTGCTTCCATGCAGTGTCACAGTACCAGGCTTCAGTTTCACGGAAAACACGTATGGACGACGTTCCTTGGAAGACCAAGCTGCTTAATCGCCTTTCACTGCGTAAGGGCATGATATTGTCTCGCAGAAGTTCGTACTGCCAATACGAATGTATCTTCATTTGCTTGAATGCTTTCGTGCAGTCTGTTTTCTCAAACGGTGTCTTCGTGAACACGCTCCTAGACGTCTAGTGCAACGCTGTCTTTCTACGGACTCGGAATACCGCGACGCTATGGTAAATACGTATGGGAAGGTATTCGTGTATACAATATCGGGTAGGACTTTGCAGCTAATCTTTCTTGACTCCAAGCATCGTTCGGACTCCGACTTAACCAGGCGAATAAGATACCACATTATGTAACCAGAAGTACTTGGACGAACTCGTATCTAAGCCATGAGTAACGAAAAGCCACCATTCGTTTGATTAATCGGTGCATGTTGTTTTGTCTTAATAGCTTTGCTTAGAATCTTCAAATTCTGAAAATTCGAACTAGCTTTGATTAACTGATCAAAATAACCGATTTGTGGTCATTGGCTGCAAGTCACTGCTCCTAGCCAGCTCAGAACTAATTGGGAGCCAGGTGGCCTGAGGCAAGTAATAGATACATTCGTGACGCCTGTTTAAGACGGTAGGAGCCCCGACAACGAATCAATCACAATTGCTATTCGTGTGGCATCTACCGGTTGTGATAACCTGAAGCAATGAAATCCCATCAGCTGGCATGGGATTCTTCGTTCGCAGTCCTCGAACAGATCCTACATAAATATCCATCATCTGCAAATTTAGAATAACCTCTCGAGTCTTGCTTCGCCTTGAGATGCTCAATACCCAAGTTAGGGTTTATCGATCATCTTCTTCGGCCTGGCTTTTATCATCGCACTTCTGATTGACATCATTTTCTCGTATGCTGTTCTTCCCATTGTTACCTACCGTCCAAACTTCCATTACTTCACAAACCTCCGAGAAATGGGCCGGTTGCTCATATAGCGCATGGATTTGAAGAGTTTATCTAGCTCACAAACAGTCTATGTCCGAATTCACTTTGGTCAAAGTGAAATTTGCGATTGTTGGCCATGTTGTTATCGTATATTACTTCAGCAGAGATTTTCAACCCGATAAGATGAAGGCTTCTTGTCTTCCGTACTGACATATTGACCTTTTTGCACTCAAAAATCGGAAGTCGGACTTTCACTGTGACAGCTGGCTTCACTATGAATATCTAGAGTTGACTATAGGCCGTGTTATAAAGAATTCTAAGCTGAGGAGACCTTGTTTCACTTCAACCTCAAGGCCTTTACCTGGACCATTGGCTAGGGTAATCTCTTCGATCCCAATCTGACCCTTCTATTCTTATCCTATCACATACGCTTAATAATTCATTCATGCACGGCCAATTTTAAACGCGGGAAATATACCGTGGCCACATAGAAAACAGGCAGAATTGCGAATCATATCTTTATAATACTCATTGAGGTCGAGAATGTAGCGGCACAAAGGCCACAAGACCCTCGGAGCCCTGGTGTAACATCCGATTCGTATATAATGCTGCTATACTGCTATATGCTGTCATGGTTTGCGTTGAGACTGCTTTGGAAGAGAAAGGCTGCAATGGTGAACAGGTGATTTGGGTTATATAGAGGTTTCGAGCCGGCTGTTATGCAAATTTCCTTGGCTCTCTTCGAGAGAGTGCTGGTTTGAATGCATATCATCGGTCAAGCGATTGTTCTTGACACTGTAAAGATAGGCAAAAGTCAGTCCAGAACTCTCAGGCGCAAGCAGGAACACTCGATAATTACAAACAGTCACATAGGGTTGGTCGCCAAGAAGCCATTACCACGAAAAAGAATCGAGCACATGGAACAGGATGAAACAAAACAGATTGGGAAACTTACCATGGCCCAATAAGCGCCCCTCTGCCCCAGTAGTTCTCTATGTGTTCCCTGCTCAAGAATCCTCGATCCTTCACCCGCCTCGCTTTCGCCAAATACAAATATGATATCTGCCTTTTGAATGGTAGCCAGCCGGTGTGCGACCGCGATCACAGTCATGCACCTCTCGCCGACCAGTTTCTCGATCGTCTGTTGGACCAGTTTCTCGGACTGAGAATCGAGACTGGACGTGGCTTCGTCGAGCAACAGTAGTGACGGGGAACGCAGGAGCGCCCGAGCGAGACAGAGCCGTTGTTTTTGCCCACCAGAGAGCGAGCTCTGTGCGTTGATGCCCAAGATGGTTGCATAACCCTCGGGCAGGGAGACGATAAAGTCGTGAATCTCAGCGGATATGCAAGCCTCGAAGATCTGGTCGTCCGTGGGAGGTTCTGATTGACCACCAGAACCAAGGCCCAGAACCAAATTATCCCGGATCGTGCCATCGAAGAGCTTCGGTTCTTGGGCTACGAGCGAAAGTGCGCGGCGATAAGACCGGATTTCGATATCTTGGATGTTATGATCGTTGAGCGTGATCGTGCCCGACACGGGGTTGTAGAACCGCTCAAGGAGGGAGATGACGGTCGTCTTACCACATCCGGACGGGCCGACAAATGCAACGAACTGACCACTTCCGATGTTGAGATTGAGGTTCCGATAGATCGGCGCCTCTCGTGTAGGGTATCTGAAAGCGACGTCTTTGAACTTGATTTTGGCGCCAAATTTGTTTTCGGGTTGTAGGAGCTCGTCTTCTCTCCTGAGAGTCATTTCTAGTTGGTCATGGATTTCTCTAGATTTTAATATTCGATTTGCTGCTGAGGTGGCCGCAACGATGTTCGGGGCGAAACCAAAGAATTGACCGGCTCCTTGTGCGCCTTGCACGATGGCGACGTATACGACAAAGAATTGCAGAGAATTGTATTCATAGGTGGAGAGAAGTTGCCCGCCATACCTGATCTATCAGTATAAATCCTTTAGGATGGGAACAGAGCGTCTGGCTTACCAGTATGTCAACGCCATGGCGCACAACTCGATACTATCAGAAAGAGCAAAAACCAGACAAGCATACGCGGACTTCCGAAACGCCTCTCGAATCTGTAACTGCAAAAGCTCGGAGTATTTGTGTATAATTGATTCTTCCATGGTCAAAGATATGACTGTTCGAAATGCACCAACAGCCTCGGTGGCGAACTGCGAGCTTTGGGAAAAGACTTTGGCATTCCACTCCTCGAACTCGCGCTCGAGCTTTAGGCGAACAAACGAGGCAACAATGATGACCGGCAAAGCGGAACAAAAGACCACCAAAGTTAGCTTCCACCCAAAGTAAAATGATACAGCAGTGCAACCTATTATATTGAAAATGGCGATAAGGGGAAAAACACCATTGAAGCCGATGAGTTCTGCCAGAAGTTTACAGTCTGTCGCCAGGCGAGCCATCAATGACCCGGATGCATTATCTTCCTTGTCAAACCAGGAAATGGGACTCTGTAGTAGGTTTTTGAAGTATTGGCGGCGATACACCGTGGAAACGTACTAGAGCCACATTAAAGAGCAGTCTCAATGTGGAATGGGGCTTGTTTACCTACCACAGAGAATTGGTTGGAAAAATACCCAAGACACAAGTAAGAGATAGAAATCCCTAGCGAGAGTACGAAGAACATCAAAGCCCAAAAGTCTCCTCGACTCTTTAATCTCTCGCCTGTAAGTGTGAAGACTTGGACCAACTGAGCGAAGATCCAGCTCTGAAGTGGAAATGAAGCTGGTGGTGCCATGTCAGCGAGGCATCACGGACAAAAGCACCTCCGTAGGGATTAACTTACAGCCCGCCCCCATGGCTGCAAGGACAACTGGAACGCAGAGTTTCCAGTAGGCTCGTTGTTCGTACAGCAGATGACCGACAGACATGAAAAATCCCATCTGCTTGGCTACCTTTGTCGTGTCTTCTTGCCCCTTGAAGGAAGTCGTGGTATTTTGTCGATCAAGGTCCTGCAGGGAGGCCATTTCGTCTGTTAATGTTGTCGGGGCACATTCGGCTTCGAGTTGCTGTGCATGGACAAAGCCTGCGTAAATACCACCTGGTATAGACAAGAGATAATTGTGGGTGCCCTCTTCCATATTTCTCCCATCACGCATGACAATAATATGGTCAGCTTTGCGAATGGTGGAAAGCCTATGGGCGATCACGATCGTAGTCAAGTCTTTCGAGACCTTTTCTAGGGCCTTTTGCACAATTCTTTCTCCTCGAACGTCGATCGAACTTGTGGCTTCATCTAGGATCAAGATGGCAGGTTGTCGAATGATACTACGAGCAATTGCCAGCCGTTGACGTTGACCGCCACTCAGCTTGATACCACTTTCCCCGATTTTGGTTTGGTAACCCTAGAGCCGTTAGCAAAAATAACAAGAGACAGGAATCAAAATCTTGCATGTGGTAAGTGAGTAATAAACTCGTCGGCAAATGCTTCTTGACACGCCTTTGCTACTCTTTCCTTCTTTTTGGACTCGTCTTCATCGTCCCACTGTGTGCCCTTGAGGCCGAAGCAGATGTTGTTGAAAATTGTATCATTGAACAAAAATGGTTCTTGCTGGACAAGACCGATTTGCGATCTCCACCACCTCAGCCTAACATCTGCAATATCGTGGCCCCCAATTGAAATTGAACCACGGTTCTGAGTCGTTGGCTGCTGGCCATGCGTGCTTGCTTCTTCGGACAAAGAACCTGGCCCCACATTGTTATCGCCTTTTTCCAGCTCGTACCAACGTTCTAGCAAAGCGACTATCGTGCTCTTGCCAGAGCCGGACGGACCCACCAAAGCTGTTGTCTTGCCTTTCTGGAAGCGGGCACTGAAGCCTTTCAAGACTTGCACGTCAGCGCGCGTGGGGTAGGAGAAAATCACATCGGAAAACTCAATGTCGCCGTGCGGCGATACATCTGGCTCTGAGATACCCTCGTAGTTGATTCTTGGGGCGTAAATCATGGAGAAGTATTCAGAAGAACAACTAGTTGCTTTGGCAATGGCGATGAGAGGGGGACCAAGTGTCCCGAAGATTGTGATGATGATGAGAACCGAGAAAAAAACTCTAGCATGGAGGTCAGTGACTGTACTAGAGAACATCCACACTCGGCCTACGTGATGATGCTGCCGACATCATCGATGTCACCGCCAAGGTACAACTTGATGCCGAACCAGAAAGCCAGACCGAAGCTTGCATAAATGGCAAAAAACGCAGGAGAAAGCTGGATACCGTAGTGTATCGACAAGGCCAGCCCATGCTTTTGTGCGTCGTCGACCGCGTCAAAGTACTTCTGAGTTAAGGTTTGCTCTGCTCCCAAGGAAACGACGGTACGGATAGAGGCGAGAACATCTGCTGCTACTGATGATGCCTTTTCGTTTGCCTTGTCGACGACCTGCAGCATCTTTATGAGGACAGGCGTGCTGATGCCATAGACAAGGAGGACAAAGAGGATTGACGAGCTCGAGACCAGAGTAAGGGACCACGAGTATGAAAAGGCTATCGCATATGCAGTAATGGTGACGGCTATTGCCATCAACAAAGAATGGAGCTTATCGGATATACTCATCTGAATCGTGTTGGACGAGGCTGTGATGGTGTTGGCGACTGTGCCTGAAGAGACCATATCGAGTTTTTCGACGGATTGGGAGAAGAGAGATTTCAGATAGGAGAGCCGTAATCGTGCCGAAATTCGAAGTCCGGCCATCCGAAAGCAGTACTTGGGCGGTCAGCAAGTCGAAGCAACTCTGCTTGATGAAAACTGACCAGGGAAATGTATGTAAGGACAAATCTCCCAATGAAAAGGTAGACGAGATACAATCTGTCCTAGTCAGCTTCAGTTTGAAGAATAGCCAGCGGCATGGTATACGCGTTTCTATTGACAGCGGCTTTGAACATGTCTTTGGTGACCTGGCTGTCGGGTACGAAATAGCCACTGAAGCTCCGAACCATTTTCCCAAACACGATGTTCATTAGTGGCAGCGCCTACGAACAGATATTATTATTGGGACAGAATCAGTATAATATTAACGTACCGTGCCAGAGCCACAAGCGCATACCAGCCCCAGAAGAAGAGCACATCGGTCGGCCTTGGAGCTATGGGCTAGAATTCGCTAACTCATGGTCAGTGGATCAGATCACTGCAAAGCTCTGACAGTGATACCGACAATGTAGTTCGAGATCGTTGCTTTCGGCAGTCCATCATAATTTGAGTTTTCCTGGACGGTGATTACCCCTTGTTCGTTGACATTGGTCGCGGCGATTGTGCCTGAAGACTTGTCGCCTGGGACACTCATCATTGATGCACAAAGTATTGAAAGGGGAACTTATTGAATTGGATCGTTCGCGAAAGAGACCTGCTTGTCACAAGAAAGTTGCAGTTTGTCAGAAGCTGCTGTAAATTACCACGAGAGTTCTACCTATTAGCAACGTCCCATCATCCCAAACCTCCTCCCCTGCATGCTGACATCGGACACCCAATCCTGATTGCCTGA